TCCCTACTTTTTAGCTCCTTTTAGGCAAACATGAACAGCATATTAATATATTTTCTTTAGCAAGGTGCAAAACTGAGTTGGTATCTGGTAAAGAAATGGGGTGTGGAGTGGAGTGAGTCCCATCTGCCAGGGGTGACACAGTGCCCAGGGCTCCTGTCCAGCCTAGCCACAGCCACACTTTTTCTGGTCAGGCTTGGACCGTCGCCACTTGTGTGTGTCACTGTGGAGTCTTAAGAAATACTGAGGTTGGAGGGTGGGCCCCTGACAAGACACTAAAGGGAGCCTTAGAGGACTCTTGCCCCATAAGCTTTTGTAAGCCCCAGGCAGGCCTTTGGGAAAGCCTGAGAACTGAGAGAGAATGGGAAGAGGAGGATTTCCCCATCTCTTCTTCTGAACAGAGCCAGGCCCCTCCCCAGGCCAGGAAAAGCCAGGCCTCCCACCTGCTGTTCCTCTGGTCCTCCCTCACCACCTTCTCTTGTGTCTGTTGAAGGAAGGCTTCTGTGCTGTTCTGAGCTCCAGGTCCGGCTGGTGTTGGCTTTTGGGCAGCTGCGGCAGGGAGAGGGGCACCAGAGGCTGGGAGGGGAAGCCTTTGGAGTATGAATTTCTCCAGAAATGTCTGCAAGTCTTACCAGAGCCCTCGGTACTCAGGAGACTCCGTGTGTCCCTCGCTTTGTTGCTGGCCACCCACAGACCGCGTACCCAGGGATGCGGAAGGAGGCCTCGGAGGGAGCTTTTTTCTCCTTCCTTTTAAAGCATCACTTTTGTTTCTTGTTTACACCAGCACCACAGCCCCCTTGGGAAATGGCTAAGGGAGCAGGGGAGGATGGGCAGTTACTGAGATAGAATCTGAGAGACAGGATATACTCCACTTAGCCTCTAATCTGGTCTCTTGGGTTGAAAAGGAGGGGAGGAGGAAGAGGGTGCCTGGGAGCTGGGATGAGACAATTTGAAGCAGCAATGCAGCAGCTCCTTGCTGCATTGTACTGGTCCCAGAGGTGCTGAGCTGGGACCTCAGATCCCAGCAGGGAGTGGGGCGGGAACAGGCACTGGCCTGGTCTTGCTTTGAGGGCCACCGTGGAGTCTGGGGCATGGGTCGGGGCTTGGGTCCTGGGACATGAGCTGGAAATCACAGTGAGTTCTGTCATACTCTCAGTGCAGCCCGGACACTTTGGTCGACGGTAGATCAGGTCGAATTAATTATCTCACTAGTTCAACAAATCTGTAGGTGCCTGCTATGTTCCAAGATGCTCATGGCTGGTGACACACCACTGCGTTTGAAGCGTATGATGTTTTTACTATGTTTCCCAGCTTGCACAAATTTACTAAATTATATACATGTACTTATAGGTCCATTATAAAGCACACACAGGAAAGAAAATACGAACAAGGTAAACAGAAATAAGTTCTAATGTTTGTTTCTACACTTCAGTGGATTGTGTTGCATACATCCCACTTCGGAGAGCACTTATATGTACTCTTGCTTTCATGCTTCCGACCTCCACGATAGCTTTGGAAAGTGGATTATTTTGGAGTTGGGGCTGCCTCTTGGATAAATGGAGGGTTTGAAAGAGGAAGCAAGGCAGGCAGATACTGAGCTCACATAACTGGTTAGCACTGGGGCCCCAGCCAGGCCTGATGGCTGTCATTCTTTCCTCCACCCTCCTTGGGTGCTCAGGTTGCTTGGGGTGGGCGTTTAAGGTCTTGTGCTCCTGTCCTGTGCACCATGGTCAGGCTACTGAGAGGTGGGGCTGTTGGTGTTCAGTCCCTTTACTGCATTTGATCATCAACAACTGGCCAAAATGAGGGATCCTTTCCCCACTAGGAATACCCGAGAATTGATACTGCATTTGATCATCAACAACCGGCTGAAATGAGGGATCCTTTTCCCACTAGGAAGACCCGAGAATGGAGGCCTGTGCTGGGTGTAATGAGCATCAGAGCCAGGCCCTGGGCCCTGTTCTCCCTGACTGGCTGCTGCCGCCTCCTGCAGAAAGTTTTTCTTTACATCTACCTGTTAAACCATCCCCCGGAGGAGCAAATCTGTGAACATGCTTGGCATCTCTGGCTCTTGGTCCAGCATGTAACAGTTTTCTTCTGGCCAAGGACTTGGGGTCCACCATGGAAGCTGCATCAGCACTCGATGTCCTTTACTCACCATAAGTGGTCCAAGCGCAAGAACTTTGCTCATGGGGTGCGGGGGAGCCAGAGCACTGTAGGCCTCCAGGGTCTCTGAAGTTTCTGGTCCCTTGGCCTGTGACATTTGGCCGGGATGCTTGTGGTGCGGTTGGGGGTCAGGAGCCTAGAGAGCTGGCTGACTTGCCCCTTCCCCATCCATGTCTTCTAGGGCTATGCCCTTTCCTTCCCTTGTGCAGGACTTTGCCTTTCTGCTGGTGGGAGAATGGTTCTCTTTGTAGGTATTGGTTTCCTATTCAGAGGGAACCTCCTGATAAGGGTTCTGGGGATGCATTTTCTGTGGCCTGGGATGAAGCCTGGAATGAGGCCTGGGACCCTGGAGTTAACTTTCTCACAGGCAGGTAAAACCTAGGAAGTTAATCTCCTTCAGGCTTGTTCCTACAGACTTAATTTCCTAGTTGTTCATCCTAGGACCCCACCTCTTGGTAAAAAGAGCTGTTACAGTGTCTTTTAAATAATTCTCTGTCTCCTCCTACGTTCTGCCTCAAGATACCTTTCTTCACTTTACCCCATCCTAGCAAGGAAGGAGAAGAGTCACTTACGGTGATAGTGCAGGAAATGGTGCTGGACTAATGTTGGTAAAAGGGCCTGGAAGGTCGGGCGGACTCTGCTGAGCTGGGGCTCTCTGCCCCTCCCATGCAGGGGCCTTTCCTGGCTCCTTCCTGCCCTTCCTTGCCTGGGGAACCAGTAGCCTTTGTGAGTCTCCTTGACAACAGGCTAGATAAGCATTCTTGTCTCCTCTAAATCACTGTGCAAAAGACAAAACAGTTGTAAAACATAATTAAATGAACTTCAGTGAAGAATGAACTAGTTTAAAACAAAAAAAAAGAGACACACACACACACACACACACACAGGCACATGTTCTCTTGCCTGCTGTGTTCAAGCCCAGTCCCTGAGGCTTCTAGATGGTCCCAGAGAGCATCTGTTGGGAGGTTCCGAGGCCCAGGTGCTCTCATGTTGAAGCTCTTTGGTTTAGGGGTCAGATCTAGATAATCACGCAGCATCCTCACTTACCTCATTAGAGATGGTTGCGGGTGGAGTGTGGGTGTTAATGTTAACATCCATAATGGAAAGCCGATCTGAATGCGTCACTCTTCATTCAGTCTAGCCGGAGAGGGGTGACCCCGGAGGCTTCGCTGTGTTTTAGAACTTCTCAGGGCAGTGGAATGGAACACAGGCCTGGGTGGGAGTTTGGTTGTACCTCTTTAGTGATCCCCTCCCCGCCCACAGGTAAAGTGGACCCTTTCTAGGGCCCTTTTGTAAGGACCCTGAAGTACAGAGAGAGGCACTTGTCTGGAGCCACCTGGCTGAGCCGTGGGGGAGTAAGGAGCAGTGACTTCGTCATCAGAAGCTGTAGCGCTTTCCCTCAGATCCTATCGGTCCTTTACAAAAGCCAGCTTTGTTTCCTGTAGCAGTCTTGCACTACTTAAGGCCCTCTGTTTTGTGGTGTTATCCTAGTTGTAATTTAGTTTAGAAATAGCTGTTTCCATAAGGGCAAGGGCTGGGTATCTCTCTGCCATATCTGGAATCAACTCCTGGCTTCCTCCCTCTGTCTTTCCTTCCATTAGTAAGTATTTTGCTGTGTGCCAGACATGGGGATGTCATGAGAACAAGGTGTCTCGGGTCCCATCTTCAGGGAATAATAGACAATTACAAAAAAATCTCCAAGTCCCCATTGTAGCCAATGCCAAGAGGGAGATGGTCTGAGTATTACAGGGAATGACTGGGGTCGGGTGGGATTAGAGATGGCTGGAAGAACATTACTAGTGACACAAAGCACTTAAATCTGAAATGTAAAAAATTCCTACAAATCAATAACAAGGAAGGCAGAAAACAGCCAGTGACTTGATAGATAATTCACAAAGGAAGATATCCAAATGGCTGATAAACATGTGAAATGGTGCCCAATTTCATATATTATTAGGGGAATTCAAATTGTTAATTGAACTTAAAAACATATGTAACTGTTTCTGTGTTTGCATATGTATATAACGAAATCTTTGGAGATGTGATGAAACATCCTTTTTGCCATTTCTAGTTTACTTTGTTTCGATTTTCTTAATGAAAAATAAAATAAATTCCAAGATGCTTAAATAAAAGAAGAAAACCTGGGTTAATAGGAGATTTGGGGTCAACCATTGAGCTGCTCACAGCCCGTTCCTCCTCCCCGCGCCCCCCAGTTTCTTAATTTGGATCTTCCTCTGTTGCTTCTCTTCTTCCCAGGACTGCTCTGAGGTTCACAGGTATGGGAAACGCTCTACAAACTGTGGAGGGCTATACAAATACTAAGTGCTGTTGTTACTGTCTAATTCTAAGTGATTTCATTTCTCCTCCACCTCTTCTCATAACAACTATTCTAAATTCCCCTAAGAAATAAAAGCTCTGGGTAGTAGGCTCAGGAATGAGGCCTGGATGAAATCCAGTCACAGCCTCCTTTGCATTCTTTGGATACAAAGGAGGGGCTTTCTCTGTCTTCTGGACTGTCCCCGACTTCCCCGTAAGGCAAGGGGATTGAATAGACTGTGGCTGTTACTCATCCTCTGTAGGTGCAGATGCATGCCTCTCTTGCAGCAGAGAGCTGGCCATCTTGGCACATGTCAGAACAGTGTTGGGATCACTGTGAGTCCCATCTGTTACGTCACCTGACTGTGCTAGGTCCTCAGGCCCTGTTTGGGTCTTTTCCCACAGATTTCCGATGACAGGTATGTACTTCTCAGTATCCTAATCAGCATTTTTGACCTTTTCTGTTTTCCTGCCACGTAGGAGTCAGAGACAGAAGTGAAGGTAGATGGAGAGACTGCATCGGACAGTGAGAGCCGAGCGGAAGCTGCTCCCCTGGTAACTCCTGCAGACGATACCCCAGAGGTCCTCAACAGGGCCCTTTCCAACTTGTCTTCAAGGTAACCTGGCTCGCTGGGGGCCTTGTTCTTTGTCCAGGTGCCATGGAAGACCCAGGGTCCTCAGAGAGCCCAGTCTTGTGGTGGGAGTCTACTTCTGTCAAAGTATGTGGGGCAGGCCTGCCTACTGGCATTGGCTGCTGTTCCTCTTGTTTCTACCCAGAGCTCCATTGAGTGTCATCTAGTGCTTAACAACAATTGTGAGCATAGCCTGGAAGGGTCTGGCCCTTGAAGGGTGCTCTGAGTTGGGCTGGGAGAGGCAGTCCAAGGAGGAGGAAAGCGTGGACAAGGGGATGATGGTGGGCAAGGTCGCTGACATAGCACATGAGGAGTAATGGTTTGTGACTGATGGGTTGGCTGCTTTTCACAGAGGAACCCAAGCTTCCAGTCCAAAGTTTAGTTTTCCTTCTCTCATGCACGCACATCCATTACGAGCATTTAAAAATTCTTTCAGAAGAATCGAGAAACATCTTTACTTGGGTGAATCCAGGGTTAAAATTCTGGTCCCTTGAGACTCTGGTCCCTCCAACACCAGCTATGTGGGTAGATTAAAAACACAAACTAGAAGACCCCAAAACATTACCTAAGAGTGTTCCTATGTGTGTGCCTCCCACACACATGTCCGTTTGAAAGGTTGTTTTGTGCAGTGGTTGAGGGCATGGGTTCTGGAGCCAGACTCCTAGGATTCAGATCCCAGCTTAACCACTTTACAGCTGAATGACCTGTGCATCTGTTTCCTCCTCTGTAAAAGCTCGTAAGAAGTGTTGAGAGTTGGATAAATTAATATATGTAAAGTCTTCATAAAAGTACTAGGTGCATATTTGTGACAGCTATTATTATCGTTGTTTAATATTATCTCTATAACGATACAGGAGCAGAGCAATGTTGAATTCTGCTGCAGGAAACATGTTTTTTCTTCAGATAAAGATGGCCGTAGAAGCCATCCGAGAAGATACAGAAGTAGAGGGCGTTGCATTTTCACTGAGATTTTTGCTCGATTCCTTCTTTAAGCTGAGTGTATTTTCTGTAGGCCTTGAAGTACCCGCTGAGTTCCGTGTGGGCGAGGCGATGGCTCTAGTGGCCCTGCTCCCGCCAGCATGTGGCTAGTGTGTCTGTTGGGGTGAAGGAGGTCCTCCTGGAAAGGATTGACCTCAGGCCCGCTCCTCGGAGGACAAGCCTTCGCCCTCGGGTTTGTGCTTCGTTTTTTTTATTTTTTCCTGGACTTTTAACGTGTTTTCTGTTTCTTTCCTCTTAGATGGAAGAACTGGTGGGTGAGAGGCATCCTGACTTTGGCCATGATTGCATTTTTCTTCGTCATCATTTACCTGGGACCAATGGTTTTAATGATAATTGTAAGTGCCATTCGCGTGCTATTTTAGTTCTGTCTTCAGTTTTTCCTGCAGGATCAGTCATCTGAAGTGCTAGCTGTTGGCTTGGTTCTAGGAATCATTTGGGGTCCAGGCTCCTCACAACATTTCCTAGAATATCTGTGACTTCTTACCATTCAAGAGCCAACTGGAGGAACGTTGGCATAGGCCAGTTGTATGTGGTTAAAGATGTCTCTTCATTTTAAATATTGATTTTATTACTTCAGCTGTTTCATTATACTTTGACCCCAGCTGTGACTTTGATGCTTGGTTTTGTTTGTTTTCTTGGACAAGGCTGCATTCTGTGTGGGATGGTGTGAGAAAGAATAGAGGACAGCCGGATCACTGTAGAACTGACATTTTTCTTAAATACAATGGTTTTCCTTGAAGGCCCATGACCTATTGGTTTCTGTTTCCAAAGATTGTAAGAATTGAGTGAGCAGGCGTTCTCATTCTTTTGTGTCCTGCAGGTGATGTGTGTTCAGATAAAGTGTTTCCACGAGATTATCACGATTGGATACAACGTCTACCACTCCTATGACCTCCCCTGGTTCAGGACCCTCAGCTGGTAAGCCCTCCAACCCCATCAGGGCCCTTGGGAGATTCGGATGGTGTTTTTGGTAGATATATACAGTGGCGGTGGGTAGGAGGGGAGTGAGGGCTACAGACCTGCATAGCACCTTTGTCGTCTGAGTGGCTGGCCTTTGAGGAATCCTTAGTAGTTGCCCGGAATCTGGAATCTCCCTCAGAAGAAAGCAGACTGGCTGATGTGCTATAGAAGTAAATGCCAGGAAGACCAATACCAGGTTGGGCAGGGTTTTGTGAAGAAAATGGTATTTAAGCAATGAGTGAAGAAAGATAAGTGAAGAGGATGCTCTAGGCAGGGAAAAAACAGGAGCAAAGCAGACAGGTGGCAAAGCTGGAGTGAACCATCTCAACAGGCAGGCAGGGTTCTGTTGGGAAGGGTGGAAATAAGAGTGGGAGGCAAGATGAGGTGTGTTTTGGAGCGTTCTCTTATATTTTGAGTGTTCTCAGGTTAGGTATGGAAACTCTATAAAAAGGGCAGAAACTAAATCCCAAGTTTGTGATAGATGGAGGGTGGACGAAAGCTGCCACAAGTTTCTAGATAAACTTCTCACCTGCAGTGTCACTAGAGAACGGGGGACTGTGGGGCTCTGTCTGGAGGGTTGGGGAGACCGCTATTTCAGTCCTATCCTTGGGGTTTTTTGACAGCCTCTCTGTAAAGGACAAGCCCCATGTGCTCCCCGAGGCAATGACCTGTCTTTATTTACAGGTACTTCCTACTGTGTGTCAATTATTTCTTCTATGGTGAAACAGTGACGGATTACTTCTTCACTCTGGTCCAGAGAGAGGAGCCTTTGCGGATTCTCAGCAAATACCACCGGTTCATTTCCTTTACTCTCTACCTAATAGGTATGCACTCGGCGGCACACACGTTCCTGTGCCTGTCTTGTTTTTGTATGTCTGCCAAGTAGGAGCTGGACACGTTCTCAGTTAATGTGAAGTTTTGATGACATCCACTCCGAGTGGGCAGGGGAGCAGAGTCGAGACTCTGCCTTACGCGAGCTGTAGCAACTCTTTACTGAGAGAAGTGAGACTGAGGGGCTTTGTGGGTGTGGGGACTGCAGTCTTTGCTACCTGTCCTTGTGATCCAGCCTCTGTTGGAGGACAGCACAGTGTGGTCCTGTTTTGATTCTCCTATCGGCAGAGATTGTACGGTGTGACAAACAAAAACCACCAAGGAACTTACATATAAGAAACAAGTGGCCATCTTTAGGAGAGCCTTCTTAGGAGACTGCCTTGAGGGACAGTCTCCTGTACTGATTTAGGTTTTAAAAGACTGTGACTTCACAGGGCCTGGGATCTTAATCCTCTGAGTCTCAGCCCTTTTTAATCTAGAGCTAAAATGGAGGAGTTTCTATGAGGGTTAAATCATACAATAAAACTTGACAAAGTGTAAAGTGCTCTGTCAGCCTAACTCAGTTCAAACTGTACACTAGTTCTAATAATGCTAGTGTTTTTCCTAGTTGCCTTTAAAGCTAGTTTGAGACCGAAGAAATTTGTTTTGACCTAAATTTGTCTTACCTATTTTCGATCAGCTCTGTGAATGACATCTGGCTATTAAAAATACAAAATTCACTGCTTAAGGGGTCTACTGACATTGAGGATATTCAGAGGGCATGTTTCAGAACCCGAATGCAGCCCCCACAGGGAGGCCAGGGCTCTGGAACAGCAACATGCTCTCTTCTGGGCAGGACTGCTTTTGAGAGGCCCAGCACACTTGTGGGTAAAAGTCCTTTTCCTTCCTAGAGGAGGGGCTGGGTTTGCAGATATTTCTTGACACCATATGGGTCAGTGTAAGACTTGGCAAGGGTGGCCTTGACCCTATACCTAGTGGATTCTACCCTCCTGCTGTACACCAGATCTCTTCTCTGGGACAGAGGTTAGCAAACTTTTTCTTAAAGGTCCAGATAATAAATATTTCAGGCTTTGGGGGCCCAAGGTCTCTATTGCAACTCCCCAGTTCTGCCACTAGCAGGAAAGCAACTACAGATAGTATGTAAACAAATGCGCTTAGCTGTGTTCCAATAAGATCTTATTTATAAAGACAAGCAGCTGGCTTCACTTGTTTGCTGGCCTCTGCTCTAGGGTCAAAACATTCTTATCTGGTGAATAGTGGCCTAAATTGAGTGTTGTCTGCAAGATTTAAAGATAGTGGCTTCCTTTGATTGTCTTGAAGAAGTCATTTTTTTCCCTTCTGATTGCTATCTGAAGAACTAGCCTGCCCCTGCCCCCCAGGCTTGGGGATTGTGTGCTGGTTAACTGCTATCAGGAAATTTGCCAAAGGACCAGGTAACACAGATAAAGGAAATGACTGGGACCAAGATAAATGTGGAATGTGATTCATTTTGACCTTTCTCCTCCCTCCCTCAAACCAGGATTCTGCATGTTTGTACTGAGTCTCGTCAAGAAGCATTATCGCCTGCAGTTCTACATGGTAAGGGAAGTGCGTGTGTATGTGTGTGCGTCTCTGTGTGTGTGCGAGAGAGGGAGAGAAGGAGAGAATTCTTGGCTTAAATGAAGTTCTGCAGAAATGCAACAGGCCTCTTATCCTTTCTGTAAATAAAACTCTGGAGTGCAGTCTGTCTTCATGTATCTAGAACCCAGAGCATGAGGAAAGAGGGCTCGTTTAACTTTGGCAGCTCTCCGTTTACTTAGACCCAGTCATGGTTACTTATTTTACATCCTAAGTAATCGCTCCACTAGGACCCGAAAATGGGCTCCAGGTAAGGCTCAAGGTGAAGGTTCAGGCATGTCCTATCTGCTACATCATTCCGTCAACTCTAAGGCATCCTTTCTCTGAGTGCCCCAAGCACTCAACAAATACTAAGAATGAGAAGTACCCAGGCTTTTGGAGCACAGAAGGACTCACTCACTAGTAGTCCCGACTGGATTTGGACTGTAGCTGGGGGACAGTTTCTTCAGAGGCCTGTTCTGTACCTTTTCACTTCTAATAAGACAAGTGCAGAAGCAGATATCTTCCCTACCCATTTCTCAGCAATTTTTTTTATTTTGGTATTGACTGTTATTTGAAGTTCCTTTCAAGGTAAACCAATAAAGTCAACTCTCTCTTTTGCAGTTTGGCTGGACCCATGTAACATTACTGATTGTTGTAACCCAGTCACATCTCGTTATCCATAACCTGTTTGAAGGAATGATCTGGTGAGTAATGACGATGAGGGGATTTTCCCTTTTATTTTGTGGGTGTTTCTCATGTAAAGGTACTTTACCCTCTAAGCCAATGGCTCACACCTTGAGCTACATCAGAATCCCATGCAGGGCACCCCTGAGTTGCTGCTTCAGCAGACCTAGGGAGGGGCCTGAGAATTTGAGTTTCTAGTGAGTCCCAGCTGATGCTGATGTTTCTGGTCAGGACCTACACTCTGAGAACCACAGTTCCAGACTAACAGGTACAGGGATATTTAAAAAAATCAAAGACAATGCTAATGTATGGCAACACATTTGAAACCCCAGAGTAAATTTTTATGATTTCCCAGCAAAATATAAACTAACGTCATGAAGAAGAAAACTTAAGTAGATTGATAACTATAGAAGAATTTTGATAATTGCATAAGTATCCACACTTGGGAAAAAAAAGCAATGATAACAGCTGAGTTTTATTGAACTCTTAATACTAAAGCTGATAAACATAGGGAGGGAGAAACAAGAATAACTGATTTTTTTTTTTTTTTATGATTGTGGATAAAACCATTGTAAATAAACTATTAGCAAATGGAATCTGGCAACGTGTCAAAAGAATGTATACAGTTGTGTGCAGCTTAATGTTTTGGTCAGTGACGGACCGCATGTACTGTGTTGGTCCCTCCCAGTGGAGCTGAAACATTTCTATCGCCTGGTGAAGTCATAGCACCGTGCATTACTCAAATACTGACCATAGTGCTACAATTGCTTACAGTATTCAGTACAGTAGCATGCTGTACAGATTTGGAGCCTGGGGGCTGTAGGGGAACAGAATTTGTCACCCCAAAATATCTCTGTTTGGCATAAGAATTATTTTAGGCTGGTTAAGAAACAACAGACAAAAGAGAAGCTTTGTTATTTTAGGCTGGTTAATTTTAAGAAACAACAGACAAAAGAGAAGCTTTTAAAACTAAGTACACGATGCCTTTGTAAAAGGCATTTACGTTTGTAAGGGTGTCTTCCTGCAACCTGGAAGAGGGGAAAGACCTTATCTCTACAAACTCTTAACCACTGCAGAAGAGAATGGACCTAAATCTGCATAACAGCCTTACCCTCGTTTACTTTGCTTTTTGGGATAACCTCCTCTGACTTCCTCCATGCCTAACATCATCTTTGGTCTTCAGCTGAAGATGATATTTAAGGTGGTGGCTTCAGCCATTTTGCCAGTTACTCAATTTTTCTGGCATGCATGTTATTACACTTTTGTTTGTTTTTCTCCTGTTTGTCTTTTATTACAGGGATGTCTCCTCCAAGAACCCAGAAGGGTAGAGGGAAAATTATTTTTCCTCCGTTACTGAGCAATAGGTTCTACCATTTACCATATACTATTTGTGTAAGGCACTTGAGGATCTTCCTACAAGGACTTAATTGCCTAGCACATTTTTCAGAATGTATCCTGTAGTTAAGCGGCTGTACTGTTAGTAGATTTTATTCCAGAAATGCAATAGTTTCAACAGGAAATCTGTCAGCATTGATAGAAGTCAGCCGCTGATTGAAGAAGCTAAGTGAAGAGGTGAAGGCGTAGCCTAATGTATACAAGAGGTGTTAAAGAATCGTGGCTAAGACCCCAGACTGAGCCTCTGTTTCCAGATCTCAGAATGAGGGTACAGTACCACCCACCTCCTGAGGTATAAATTACTAAATACATGTAAAGTGCTTAGAACAGGGATGAGATCATATAAATGTTAGACATTTATTACAATTAAAACAATTATAATGGAGTGGAGGGGGATATAGTTCCTTCTGGTTTTTTTTTTTCAGTTTTTGCTAGGTATTTCTTAACAGTAGTGCATACTATGTCCTCAACTTTGGGGACAATTTACTGCTTGCTTCGAAAGTGAGTAATATTAAAATCTCTAGTTACTGGTTTTCAAACTTAATCTCCAAGACATAAAATTATAGTTGTATAGCAGAGAATATGTACTGAAAGCTTTGACCCAGGAGATGTTTGGGGGTTGGGAAAATGCAGAGGCTATAAACCCCTGCCTCAATAAGCAGGAAGTCGGAACATTTTGTCTATGGTTAATGGGCCAGGAGACTGAGAATTTTGTATAGTATGTTAAACTGTAATAGAGGAATTTTTTTTTATTGTAACGGTGGTGTTTCTATTTTTATTTTTAAAAAATTTTTTAGAAGAAATTTAAAAAAAGTGACTGTCAGAGAATGGAGCGTGAGAAGAGGAGGTTGATGTTACAAGTGTAAACAGCCCCCTTTTTCATGGTGGGGATGATCAGACAGCCGGGGGAGGCAGAGAAGAAATTTAGCTGTGTGATTTTACCCTCAGAGTAGCCCTGGGGAAAGGTAGGGCTCACTAGACAGTTAAGAAAAAGGTAAATTATGAAATAGACATAAAATATATTAGGATTGTGGAGTCAACTACTAAAAGAAGAAAAATCAGAACTGATTAAAAGTGGCTATATTGGGGAATGGAGATAAAGGTGGGAGAAAAAAGGAAAACTTATTTTTTTTCTTTAGAGTTTAAATGTGTGTTATCATGTACATAGATTATAATGAGAAAAAGAACAACTGACATTCCATGGACTGCCACCTTCATTTATTCAGTAGTCATTTGGTAACCATTTGAATACCTGCTATGTGTCCAGTGTTAAGTATGGCTTGTTTGGTATTTTATTTTTTTAAATTTATTTCTTAATGGGTAACAAGTATTTATTAGTTATTTCAGTACTGGAGTTTATGAGTGGTGTGGACTTTTGCGATATTATCATCTTGGTAGAATTAATCCTTTGGTTTATTTCCTAGGTTCATTGTCCCTATTTCTTGTGTGATCTGTAATGACATCATGGCCTATATGTTTGGCTTCTTCTTCGGTCGGACTCCACTCATCAAGGTAAGTGGATCACCCTGACGTGAGCTGTCACCATGAGGGAAGGATAATGCTTTCAATATGAGTAGGTCAGCTTGGGAGGCAGGATATCTAACTTGTATGTATGTCTTCATGTCACCCTGGAGAAAGGCTGGTAGTAAATTTTAAGAGAAAAGCCAAACAGAAACGTTGACAACTACCCACAGGAAAAAAAGAATAAAGAATAAATTTTAATTGACCGTATAGGCACATTTTGGGAGCTTCGATCTGAATTTGTGTGTTGCCATTTAATTAGTATACTGTTTTATGACATAATTAAATGATTTGAATGACCAATTGAAACAAAAAGGAAACTGAGATGAATCATGCAGGGAACCAAGAAAGCAAGCATGGGGATATTTTTTCAGGGGAGGTAGTTAACAGTGAGGTTTTTAAGTATTCATTGTTCCCAAAGCCAGACTTATCACAGCATCCTTTGCTAAGAACTTGCTCTCTGTCCACAGCTGTCCCCAAAGAAGACCTGGGAAGGCTTCATCGGGGGCTTCTTTGCTACCGTGCTATTTGGTCTTCTGGTAGGTGGTGGCTCCTGGCTGGGTAGGGGAGTGGACAGAGGCCTCACACATTCCTTTGAAGCCTGTCCAGGGCTAGAGAGCCTGTCTCCCAGGGCCAAGGATTCTGTCCTGCT